GGTGTTATTAATCACATGTATGAATCAATGTCTTTTATAGTCAATAAGTATCTAATTGGCTTAACTATTCAAAATAATACAACATAATACTACTTTAATTCAACTTTATACATTCATTTGTTTTCAGATTTGCCTCTGAATCACAGATTTCAGACCTTCAGTATTGACATGAATCGTTCAGGATTTTATCCATCTATACCCAACGTTTTACTAGATTCTAGTTAGACAGCGTTAAATATTTTTTCAATGAGATCACTGGGCTACCACCATTTGGTTTTAGAAATAAAATTGATGGTTATAAAATATCTTCAATGTGTTTATTTTAGATTTATTTGTCTGACATGGACGACAAAAACATTTGATTTGGGAATTTGTTCTGCCCAATATTATTCAAAGAAACAGTCCAATTTTTTTTTAACTGATACTATTGCTCTACGGTGATTGAGCCAATGTGCCTGGTTTTCGCAGCATATACTTGTTATGTAACTTCAGTATAGAAATCACACTAGATTCATGTATAAAAATGTTGCATTCATCCACATAGCCCAATCTGAAAATCTTTGATTCAGATCAGGATATTGCTGTTAAGGCATTCAGAAACGTGGCTTTTGTTGTTCTATTATGTTCAATACAAGTTTCCATACTGGTAATGGCCAGAACCCAGACCAGAATGGCAAAAATGCTAAAATTTGGTGAATTTTAAACATTTAGTTGGCCATCTTTAATCTGATCGTCAAACGAATACATGTGAATAATACCATAACTTTATAAGTCAAAACTCATTGAAATACAGTGTTGGAACAAAAAGAAAATGGCCACCATAGTTGGCCATTTTGAACAAAATTACAAACATCAATGTTCCATGTATGAAACAAAATCAATTTATAGATGCTCATTGCAGTTCTGCAGAAATGCTCAATTTTTATGAATTTTTAGCACAAATGAGTGTCCATCCCTACTAAAATAGATAATGGATAAAGTTGTGTGCATACAGCTCTATAGAGAGATTCTTCAAGGAATACTTAGCTGGTTTTACAAAAATAGTCTCAATGTTTTAACAGAATGACAATGGAGCCTTCTACGATCCTCTAACAAGAAAATGTTATGATGGCGCAAGGTGTGCCCGGTAATTAAATACATGTTGCATTCACACCATTCTTACAAGATAAACTGCCTAAACATTTGACACACATTGCGAGTCTGCCTACTTTGAAATAAAAAAAAAAAGGTAAACACAGTGGAATTGGAATTCATTTTAGGACACTAACACCCTTTGCGAATAATTCTTGGAGCAGCTTCTACCGGTACCCTATTTAAGATCTACCAGCAAATGGACTTCTATCAGATTTTATTGAAGTCTCCTTTTTCCACTTGAAGTGAACATTTGTGTATCACCAGCAAGATTGCTTTGATAGGATAAAGTGAATGCCATGCAGACATCAGAGTTATATGTTGATGCATTCTTAATGTGAAGGGACTCTGAATATTGTGTATTTGCAAGACTAGGTGCGATACAAGATGGAGATCACAAAAAAGTACTGCGAGACACAAATTAGATCTTCATCGTAGGCATCAAATTTGTATACATGCATCTTAAAAATTGTTGGTATAAGCTACATTTATCATGTATTGCATGTCTGTCCATCCATCCGTCCGTCCGTTGTAAATACAACAAGTAAAATACAAAAAGAGTATGCACAACATGAATTTTTATTTGCAATGCAATCAAACTACTGAAAAACAGAAATCACTAACATTTAATGTTCATGTAATTTAAGAAAAAAACACATTCCTAATGATTAGATAAATATGTATGCCGACATTAACATCTGCTAGGTAAGTTTGGTTAGACCATGAACAAATGTGAAATACACATCCAGTGGTAGTACAAAACAAATCACCAAGGGATGTTTAAAAGTCACAATCACTTCATTTTACATGCAGCACCTATATTCAATTTTATATAACCCTGTTTTTTCACTGAAGTTGAAAGATTCATTTTAAAGTAACTTGTATCCATGTATTGATTATTTCTAGGTACAATGTCGTGTAGAATATAAATTGAGTAACCACAGCAAGCCCAAAACTGTTCCTTTAATTTGGCCCTTTCGTTAATGCACCATTCTTAAAATAGAATACTCGTGATTATTTTCAAAAATCTTGCATTGACTAAACAATCAGAAAAAAACACTTTATATGCTTATTATTTACATTACTCCTATTTTTGGTAAGCCTACATTTCCATTATACAATAGTATCGATGGAATAGGGGATGTACCGAATAAAATGGGATTACACTTTTATTATTTATTTAGCACCAACAAATCTTTCAGACACATCTTTCCAGTTGACAATCTCCCATATGGCTTTCACATAGTCTGGTCTGACATTTTTATACTGCAAGTAATAGGCATGTTCCCAGACATCAATTCCCAGTAATGGTACCAATCCTGTAATAAAAGACAAAACAAGTCGTTGTCAATTTTCATTGTAGACGCAAGATATATAATCAGATGTGTAATGTATGCATGGAATTTTAAATTTGATTGGTTCAGGCATGTATGAGATATAGATCTGTGGAACTGCATTCGCTTAAACTAGATGACTGCCAGACAGCCATTTTGGATTTGATAAACATCTGTTGAATATACGATTGTTTGAACTTAATCGGCGAGAGATATAGCTGGATACGAACCGATGCATGCACATGTGCACAGAGGTCAATCCATAAATCCCTGTTTTCATACATAATTTACTTTAAAACAGATGGATAGTTAACATACCTGTGGTAGATTGCAGTGGGTCTTGGTTTGCACATGTAGCCACTACCAATTTACTTGTGGCCCTGTCATACCCTAACCAACCCCATCCAGATCCTTGAATAGCAATTGTGCTAGCACTCATTGTTTTTACAAAGTTATCATAAGATCCAAAATCTTTGTTGATTTGTTCCAAGAGATCACCTGTAAAGTAGTAATGTTATGCCTATTTGCATGATCACATGATGAACACACTGCATTTCCATTTATAGCCAAAAATTTACACACATTTATACTATATATATAGAACGAGTAATATTTCAAGAAGTGCTGTCCTAGATATAACATTTACTTTATTTACCCCATTTTCTAGTTTCTTTTTTTAGTATCACAACTTATTTTTTTTGCTAATGAAGGGCGTTGGTCGTCACACTACGTATACGCAAGATATGGGTCTTGTAAAAACAAACATGACGACTTGGACTCTTGCACAAACCAACGAGTACAAACTGAGACGTTACCAAGCCTTAATTGGGTATTTTTTTTAGGTGATTGCAAAATATCAAGGAAGTCATTGGTGGTAATTAGTGCCCAGGTCAAAACTTGTACTTGTGATTTCCATTAAAAGAAAACATTGGATTGTGGGAAATTTGATGTTTATCAACACAAATGTTGCACATGCGCGCTGTGACGACCACAGCCCTTTACCTTTGTATTAAGCATTATGTTTCTATGAATGCAATAAAGTTATTATAAACATGACTTACACGATGGGTGGCCACTTTTTCATTAGAGGAAAGATTATATACTTACCAGATGGTTGGCCACCTCCATTAGGGGAAAGGTTCTTCCAGAAAATTGAGTGGTTAAGATGACCACCACCATTAAACTTCAAAGCTGGTGCCAACGAAATAATCTTGGAGATATCACCTTCAAATAAACAAGCCATGCATGGCACAGTCCTCATTAATTATCAAATTTAACATATATAGTTTTGTTTATCTGTTTTTTTTCTCTAGAAATAGGAGATAGGGTTCTCCCTACCAGGGTGTGGAGTTTTTGATAATTCTAAGTTAAAATGTAGCATTTTATGGCTTCCTTAGGGCCAAAATTACTATTAGACAGGTCACAATTGAAGACTGGCCACATGTGATCCCTGGTCAATCAGAATTTTATGGTTGCCAAAAGATCTGCTTTCCAGGGTAAGAGGCGCATGGCCATGGCATGAGGGTGCTGACTATTATGACTTTTTTAACATTTAAATGATTGACATTCATCTTGTATCTGATTGTCAAACAAGTACTTGTCCCCGAACAGCATTAATTAAATCAAAATCGTCCATTTTGGATACATCTGTATATCTATGACATGATGTTTAATCAATATATACAATTTGAACATAATCAGTCAAAATATGGCAATAGAACCGCATTCATTTAAAACAACTCATTGTTAATGACACAGTCCCGTCCAAAATTTTGTAATCTGACATATCAATTTGATGCTGATGAAGTCATTGAGATTAGATTGAAACCATTAATAGGAGATGGATTTGTAAAATATTATGATTTAGTGCTTTTACATGAGAATTGGACATTGGGCAGTCATATTGAATCAAATTACAAAAATAATGTTCATGTTGATGTATCTATTGGTATACTGTGTTTGTACAAAATTTAAACAGAAATGTTCATTACATTCATGGGAAAGTAGGCATGGGTATCATGAAAAACAAAATGGCTGCCTGTCGGCCATATTTGTTCCAATTACGGAAAAAAATATGACGTGCACCTATATCCCAGTATGTATGATCACCATGCCAACTTTGATCCAAATCGGCCCTGTCATCTCCGAGAAACTGCTGCGGACACGTTTAGGTATAAGGGCTTCGTCCGAGCGAGGACTAACAAAATGGTAACTAGTCAGCCATATTCAAACCGATTTGAAAGACAAAATGACATGCATCAAGGTCCTATAAAATCCATAAATGACCAAGATCTGGTTCAGGAATGCCAGAAATGCTTGATTTTTATGATTTTTCAGCACAAAAATGACCACCATGGACAGACAGAAGCTAAAAAACATCTGAATTTAATACTATACCTTTATTTGTTGCCTCTTTGAGTTGTTCTTCAGCATTATTAAAATTATTAACATATGTTTGATGATGTTTTTTATGATGTAATTCCATAATTTCACTGCTAATAACAGGTGATAATGCACCATAGTCATATGGCAAGTCTGGTAATGTGTGTGCCAGCCTGGTGGATAGACATGCCAACATGGGTGGGTTGGTAACCAATCTGTAAATTATATATGAACAAATAAGTACTAAGCGGTTTTGCTTACAAAGACATTTGTACAACTACAGTGTAAGCCCTATAGTTTTCCCATAAGGCATTGCTTTGAGCATGCTCAGTTTGGTTACTTGTAATATGGCGCCCGATTTGTAATAAATATTGTTCGTCCAGTTATCTGTCTAGTATTGACTCTTGTTTCAGCCATCCTAACACGACATGGTGTCAGAAGTGGACCTGAATATTTGAAGTAACACTACAGTACTCCATACGCTCGCTACCTCTAGTGGATCACGGAAAAAAATGACATCTTGCTCTCACGTTCCGTTTCCCGACAAGTTGGACCTCTCTGATGATAGAAGTCGCGCTGCTGACTGGGAACTTTTTGAA